ACTAAAATTTTATATTTTCAATTTTGAAAATTCCATGGTAGGTTTGTTCAGGTCTCCCTATACATAATTCGATTAGTTTCCGAGCAATATTATTTCAACAGTGAACGCTTGTATAATAAATGGAAACTAGAGAATGATACTTTCCAAATGATTTTGGGAACTTATCGAAGGTTTTCCAACTTCGGTGCAATCACATGTATAGTGCTAATACACCCGGGAAAAACCAGATAAGTTACGAATAAGCATCAAATACTTACTCAGCTGCGAGTATACAAATGTTCTTTCTTCATAATCGACGAGAAAAAAATGAAAAATCGCGGCATTTAAAGCGACGAATAAATATATATAGAAAATTACAAACACTAACAAAGCTTAAAATTAATCGCGTTTTGTTCTTTAATCCTTAGACGAGTCTTCTTTCTTCGTACAAGTGGCTTAAATGTAATAATACTTAAGGTAATTGCGCGGTTTTTGGTAAGGTTAACTAATAACTTGACTGGAAGGGATTAGATCAGCAGGTTGCACTTAAACTGTAGATTAACGGCCTTGAACGAGGTTTCGGAATATCCACTGATTCTTCGATCTTGACTCTTCGTATCTAGATGTGTGGGAAAAAATCAATTGTTACTAATTAGCAATAAAAGGAGATATTCGTTAGCCGTGAATTTAAAAAAAAAAGATCAACATATGAGGAGTTTAAATTTAACTTAAAAAGATATGTTAATTTTTTAATCATCCATACTGACGGGTCGTGTGTCGTAGCTCGCCGCCATCGTACATGTTTAAGTTGTGCATTCTTGAGTATTCGTTCACCACCCGTTTGCCTAAATTAGTAAATAATATCATGTAATAATATTATGTATATAGGAGAAAACTGTTGATGCTGATATCTCAGTATATAAATCCAAGCTCATTTTAATACAGATTCTCCAGAAATTGTATCACCGTTAGCGTTATATACAACTATTGCCAATTTTGTAGTTGCAGAAGAAGGCTAATGACTAGCCGTAAAATAAATTGGGTGCCCAACTAACTAACTTAAAGCTAACTACGTAAAGCCAATTAACGAAACACGAAAATGAACTATATTCTCTGATATCCGGAGATGTAAAGCGTGGCCTGGTTTAATTAATGAAACAACAATTATGGGTGTGTGCTTTTGTCTTAACCCAATTCCTAGCTCTTTGCCTGCAGTCTTTTATGCGAGAACTTCACCGGTCTAAAATTAATATTAATATCGAAGAAAGATTGATGACTGGCTGTAATAGGCCAATTTTTATTAGTCGTTCAATTAGGTCAGAAGGACTCTCGCAGAGGGCAACAGTAATTATACAGATTAGAATTGGAAGCATTCGTCAACTATTAGAACAAGTTAAAACAAATCGCCAATACTCGAAGAGAGCTGATTTCACAAAGCTAAAGATTCAAACAACTCACAAGTCAAAACTACTTATTCTCTCATGTTTTGCACACACGGACCACCATCAGACAAACAAATACGTCAACTCAACGCACATAGACACCAATTTTTCTATGAATCTTTATAGTTTCATTCGAACAAGAACGAAAATCATCAGAATATCACAACCACTCTAAAGACTAAAATGCTTATCTCGATTATCTCATTAAAATCTGGTCCTGCGTAAGTCTAAATCACGATTGTTGCAAAAACACCAAGGAATCCTAAATCCGGGAGACTCCACCCAATAGAGGAAAAAAAAATAGAGAAATTATTATCATTCATTTATATATCTATTCCATTCGATTTTCAAGAGAATATTAGACCCACGTCTCAGGCACTGACCCATAGCAAAAGTGAGTGTAAGTTTGTACGGCCTTCTATATACGAGCGAAGCTAAAAAATAAAATGCCAAATGGTCATTTCAAATTGAAAGAGCCTCTTTTAAAAATGACGTGTCTGGATAAGTCATTATTCTTGGAAACATAATTTATGTATTGCCCAAAAATTAGTAAACACTATATTTATTGCGTCAGGCATAAAAGAAATTCAGATTAATCAACCCAAGTTTTTATTTAGTTTTATATTAATTATAGGTTTTATATCATCCATCAAGAATCGAAAGCGGCTAACGAAGCAAATAGCAATGGCAAATTAATGAATACACTAAAGTTCGAAATATTATCAATTTTTAAATGTATTTTCGTTTTAGGATTCATCTACTGAGAATCAATGCATCCACGAAGGTTTTATAAACTAAAAACTTAATACATATTCAAATGCTGCAAAGGCGAAGATTATATTTACAACTAAATAACTAACACAGCAGTTTTACTGTAAGACGAAGAATCATTTTCCTTACAGATTTTTATTGCAAATGGATATTTTCGCAAGCGTTAAAGAATGCCTAATTAGAAATTATATTTGAAACATTTCTTTATGCAGATAACGAAAACGCAAACTCAATTACATCTCCAGCCAAGAGGGGCGACAAGTGGGACACTGTCGTGATTTATGTGACTTATGTCAAAGATTTTCGCGTTGGTATGGGCTATGCAAACAGTAAGCAAAATCTAGGGAATGATAGAAGTTGCACCAATGAAGAATTAGCCCAAATTTATAAACATAAAAAATTTACTGGCAATAGTAACAACATTTTTAACATTAAATATGCACGAATTATCAAAACGGAAATTATATAGATCCCAACTCGTTATCTCGCGCTACAGGATATTTTTTCCTAGGTTACATTCGTTTTTCTTTAATAAAAAGATTAGTGTGTTTCTATTTGATTGCCCTTATTATACTTACACAGGTAAAACGTACTTTTTGTAATTTTAGTCAAAATATTGTGGTTGAAACAGTTTAATATGATCAGTTGAAATGTAAAAACTGTAATAATAGTAATAAAGTTACATGTACAAAATATTTTTTTATCACCTGCCCCTTCGCTAATCCCTAATTAAAAAATTATGAAGCCCCGCACATTTAATATACGGGGTGGTCCACTGTGAATAATAATCGACAATATAGAAATAATTGGAATACAAAGTTTAGGGGTTGATATTACTTTTTGTTTCAGTTATTATTTTGAAAGGAATGGATATTTTACTGATAACATATGCATAATATACTATTTCAAACACGAAATCTACAACATGATGTTTTTCCGCTTTTGTTCCTTCTCACTTCTTTAAAATTTGGCTTAAGCAAGGGTACGATAATTCTTTAAATGAGATATTGTGAATTTGAGATCTCTTTATTAATTGTGTATTAGTATCATTTAAATAATTATTGAAGAAAAACTTTTCAAGGAATTAACATGAATTTAGACGTTTAGATGTGACAATGCTATTTAAGTGACGTGCCAAAGTACCTTCTGCATTGTACAAGATGATTAGATAATGCAATGTAAAACCGATGCAAAAAAATCATTCCGCTTTGACGTTTCTATTTAAGCATTCTTAATCGCTGATTTTGAAATTATATGAAATAAACGTATAGAATTTATGGTAGATGAAGCTCCCATTTGTTCCGCAATTTGAAGGTTAAACGTGACAACAGAACTGCGTGTTGTTTAATTTAATAAGACAGCGCCACCTACTACCAAGTATCAAGTGGCGAAATGTGTAAATAAAGTGTTCTTTATCACATGTGATAAATGAGACAATAATAATAGTTTATCACAAGTTGTTACTAAGATTATTATTAGGTTGCTGCGAACTTGTATTTTATCGAATAATAGCAAACTCGAGTTCTCGTCGGGATGAAAACGTGGGACGAGGTAATGCAGTAGCATTGATAGTTATTGTATTCATCAATTACGTACGTATATTAATTGTATTTGTTGTTAATAATGGCTTTATATCCTGACCAAATGTGTAGATAGGTAGGTACACAAAGAGTGAAAAAGACTATCTTGCATTGATTGAAATATTATCAATAACTCATTGACATGCTTCCTTTTCAATGGATGCTTGACATCGTAATCGTTCATTTCATAAAAAATAGCATTGAAATGGCCAAATTTTTACCAGTGCCATTATTAAGTATATTAAATAGAAAAAATATAAGTTCACAGCATCGTGTCCAATTACTATTATAATGAAACAATTAAACCTATAACACCAGAGCTTACCAAACAATCAGTTGTGTAGTCGGTTCGTTTATTCCCGTATCTAATATAACGAAATTTAAAAAAATATTTATTCGTGTCTCTAAATGAGTGGGTAGTGAATGTTATAGTTTTCAAATTCTCATTACCGTTTTTGAAAAGTAATAAATTCAAATTCTTATTTATACTACTGAATAACAAACCTTAATTGAAATTGGAAACTAGATAGCTGACAATTTTTTTGTATACTTATTAAATTTTCTGTCACTAAATTTTGTATTCAGAAATTAGTTCCTCAAAATTAGTTTTGGAAATTTTCATGAGAATTCCTTAACTTGCCAAAGAAGGTTTTATGTGTATTTTCATAGGCACTAAATAAATGCGCGAGTCATAATAACTATGTTAAATAAAGTTAAGGATTGGGGAGTCCATTCTTTTTTTAATAGTTTTTTTTACATTAATACTTTACATTAGTACTATTCCGTTTCCTGCCTCAACAAAACAATAAAAATATCGGCAATATCCTACATAACAAAGGCTCGGGTTATTCAAACTTAGTTCCAGAAAAAAATAAAAAATAATTATCTAATTAGCTAAATGTGTTGAGGGAGATGGTCTCACGATTTTGAGAAACATTCAATTAAGCTTTGGTGACCACGCTTGTATTCAATTCTAGAACATTTTATCCCGAAATAACATTAAGAACCTAGAGACATAATTAGCTGATTGTTTGTTAACCTGTGGTATTCCGAGAAACTGCACTGCACTAATATCCCAATTTTACAATTAACACCTACACATTAATATTGTTTCAGAAATAAACATCTGTATATTGTAAGTAAATAAATACATCCAAATTCTAATACGAACCGAAAATGTATTTAAAGATTTAAAAATTTAAGATAAGTTTATAATAATGACACTTACCTTCATCTATCCTCCTTGACGCCTCCTCAAGATCTGCTCGTGCGTCCTTCAGGATGGCGTACATCAGGGGCATCATCTCCCATGGATAGTTGAACTTCTCTAGAAGTTTCTGGCAATCTTCCAGCAAATCACCAAAATGTGCTGCAAAGAAAAATGTTCAATGAATGAATATAATTCTAAAATGATTTTTTTACATTATCTGGTCTAAAATGCCCACATATCAAGCACATATCAAGCGTGCAGAAAGTGTTAATTTCCAATCAAAAGAGGTGCTGCAAACATGTTGGAAATAGGCATCACGGCAGTTGGAACAAAATTTTTGTCCACTTTTTAAAACATATTACATTAGAAAGATATTTTTCTTGGTAATATCTACGTTTTTAAAATTTTTAGGTATTGTCTCTAAATATCAGCGTCAACTTCCAGTGTGAGAAATGTTGAAATCCCCAAAGATTTTCAACTAGATGTGGCACTGTATAATCTCGAATATTTGTTTTGCACGATAGAATGATATATATATATATATATATATATATATATATATATATATATATATATATATATATATATATATATATATATATATATATATATATATATATATATATATATATATATATATATATATATATATATATATATATATATATATAAGTAATGTACTTACTTATGCTTCTAGAATGATAAGTAAACATTCGAAAATTATCCATTTGAAACACCAATTTACAGAACTAATAAACACTTGCAATTATATTGAAATATTGACATTAAATTTACAATTTTTACAAATGGGGACATACCCTGGTAAATCACTGCTGAAAAAAAAGATCCTTTATGTTTGTGTCATCCGACGAAGAATTTCGAAAATTTTCATTTAGATGTTTTTTTTTTGGTTCTTTTTTATTACTTTGTGGTTGGCTGCTCATTTGAGATATATTTGATGTTTTCTGGGGAGTATCAAATCATAAGATTCTAATGAAAAGTCGAGAAATCATTTTTACTAAGGGAATCGCGGTTTTCAAAGTGTAATTTATTTTTTAAAAAAAAAAGAGTGGTGTATTTTTTATAAATATATACAGTACCGTGCTTACCCCAACACTACTGGCGTCGGCGTAGCCATAAGGCAAATGAAAAGACTGTTTCTATGCTTTGTGGGCCTCTACCAAACAGTCCACCAAATATCAAAAGTGATTGACGACCTATACATTGATATAAATTGTTTTAATCGATCGTTATCGATGATCGATGAAAGACTTCCTGGTTGTGATTTTAGTTTGTCATCGCGGCTCACAAAATAACCAAGAAAGGAAAATAAAAATTGTTTTCTATGTAAATATGGCAAAAGATGCATTTTTTGCACACCATTTTTTTAAAGGCCGAATTATGTTCTGTTTCTTAACGGGAGAGAGTTGTAAAATGATAATTTATCAATTAACAGGGAGGACAACTTAAAGGGTGTATCGTAAAGTTCAGATAATGCATGCAATAGATAGATACATAATGTGGCAGCGGCGTTAATATTTATATTATTATATAATTGAGATATTAATAATTCTAAGATCAAGTAAATGTAGATCTCTATCGCCTAAAGTTTTTGAAAAAAATGCATTAATACTGTTTTTTTATATTTATATACATAATTAATCAGATGGATGAGTTAATAATTATCTATCACTATTTCCTGATGATACAGCTGTGGTTTCCTGCGGTGCCGACATGGAGGATCTAAAGGCTCTAATGAGGCGATGGCAGATATTGTTGATTATAAGAGTAACAGAAATAGTCTTATACTAAATCATGATAAAATTGAATTGATCCATTTCTCACTAAGAGACATAGATAAGAGCATCTTATTTAAGTGTAATAACAAAACGATCGAAGAGAGGCGGGTTGTGAAATTTATGGGAATTTATTTCGATTCTGGGCTTTCTTGGTTTCATCAGGTAGACTATATTCTCAAAAAATTATTCACACACTGTTTTCTCATTTGGCAACTTAGAAGTATGGTCGATTATAGTCTTTTATTGCTATATTATTATCCGAATATTCAGTCCTGTTTAAATTATACTATTACTGCTTGGGGTAATTGCTCCCGATCGCATGAAATATTTTTGTTCCAAAAAAGGATTATTCGCACAATGCACTTTAAACCGAAACATTATTCCTGCAGAAATATATTTATTGAAACGCAAATTTTGACTTTTCCCAGTCTATAGATATTGAATTCGGTAACGATCGTTAGTTTTGGTTAGTTAGTTAGGTTAAATCTAATTATAATGAGTATATATGTACCCGTGCAATCAACGAACATTATAGTTTTAGACAAAATTATAACCTAGATATTCCAAAACATAAATTAAGTTCGATTGCTTATCCAGAAGGAATTTATTATTATTATTATAATTAAATAAAATTTGATGTCACTAAATAAATCGAAAACACACATCTTCTTGGGTCGGACAATGCGCAAACAATTTCATTGTAGCCTAAATTTAAAAACGCTATCAGAATGTTTTTTTTTAAAAAAACAACTCCCTGGATATTTTTGATAACATCAAAATATTTGATGATGCGAATGGAAATGTTTGTGACTTAATTGTCTATTCGAAAGTGTAATAAAATAAAGCGTGTTGTATTTAAAAAACGGAGTTTTTTTATCATTATTGACGACGATAAATTATTTGCTTCCTTCACCTGGGTATTTCAGTTTTTTTTATAAAACGGTTTATTATGGAAAAGCTGCAAAAGGGTACCGAAAATAGTGCGCTGCCATTAAATCCATAACCGACAAAGCATCCACTTTTATTCGTTAACGTCTCGACCTACAAACCATTCGTTACGGCTCACTTTCACTTCCACCACCACTCTCCCGAAAATCTTCGCCTCAAAACTGATTTATTGTTGCTACAAAACACACCTATTTACGGGATTGGAAGTTCCAAGAGCACGGTAGGGACTATTAATCACATCCTTCTATCTGCGAAACATGTGCCTCATAACGGCATCAGCGGCCAATAGAACAGGGCGACGGTTAAAAAGGTGGAGCCTATGAAAGGCCTGAGTTTACTATTGGCTACGCACAACGCCAGAAATGCAAGTTGAAAGAATAAAAAACAAGCCACTCGCTGGGGGAAACATTTATTATATCGCTGAGTTGAAGAGTTCGTTGACCCTGGATTGTTATTGTTGACGCTACGAGGTGCGTTCGACAATACAGCGCTGATTTATATTAAATGAGACCCGGCAACTTAAATCGCGGCCTGCTTTAAAGAATAGAGAATGCCCTATGCGACTTCGAAGAGACCAAGTTTCATCACTTCAGATATTTTATTTATGGCGTCTTTTTAAAAGGACGATAGTCGTACTACGGAATAAACAAAAATATTTTTTAGCAAAGGAAATCTTAATAAGGATACTTAGTTTTATAATATGGACCGCAAAAGTAGATATTTAAAGCAACCGTTGGCACTTAATACGTATTGTTTTTAATATGACACTGAACCAGGTTTGTTTGTCACGTTGATCTACTAAATGGTCCAGGCTATCAAACCTTTTCCTGCATAGCTATTCGTATCACAACATTTAGAACTCTCTTACTCCTTCTCAATATTATTTTGCCTATTTATCCTTTATATATTTTATTGTAATCTTCTACAGACTCTCATATATTGTAAATCCCTTATTTAGTTGTAAAACAATTCTACGGAAGATATTCTTTTTCCGGACTACCTTCCTCACCTTGGTTAATCGGAATGTTGTGATATTTTGCAATTCAACTCAATAATTGACAACTCAGAAATAAATTGCGTGCTTGGTACATGCCTACACGCTAAATCCTCAACTGTAACGTGTTTTCAACATCATAACCGTCTTCCGTGGCCAATTTAGATGAGAACTCCAAAAGTAATTTTTGCAAAGATTTGCAATGAGAAAATCTACGACTAAAGCTCTATCTCTTAATAAATACCAATTCATTTTGTTAACTGGTAATTTTTAACTGTTAATCATATTAAGATTGCTTCCATTTTTAATAGATTTTGGTGAAATACTTTTTTCCCGGTAGAAGTGTTTGATATGTTTCGTATTTATTTCTAAAAAATTGAAAACGCAAATGTTTCTGTTAGAATCTATGCAATGGACTATGAATTTTTTTCGTTAAATCATTGATCGCTAGCACAGGGAGAATTATCGAATGATTTGGAATTTTATTTTTTGTGCTGATATTATAGAATAGAAAAAAGATACAGAAAATCGGTTTTTACTAGCGTATTAGACCCCTATTTAGTTATCCTTTGTTGCTGTAAAAGTGAAGCATTTTTTTTGACAAAATGCATTTTATGTGCAGTGCTATTGCAAAAAAGACGAGTAATAATACGAGTATTCTAAATCAATCCGCTCAAGACCGTATTAAGCTTTTGTCAACGATTCAAATTTGTTCCGTCATTTATATTTATTCTTGGTGGATTTTTTCTGCTACTGGACCATAATACTCTCGAATTTTTCATAAATTGCAGAAAGTACTAGGAGCAAGTATTTTGTTCATGTCGAATGAAATCTGGTCCCGTGACTTGTGATGATAGTCAGAGACTGCTGATTATTTGTCGAAGTCTGATTGATCCCAGGTGTTCGTTTAGTCTGGTTGATATTGTTCACCTAATTTCTTGTAAGTATTCTTTGCCACAGCTGTACGGTACACTGTTGACACATGCTGTCTCCAGACGAATTTCATCTTTTAGCTCTATTTTATTGAAATTATCGAACAGTCTAATAACATAAAATGCGATATAGGTTTATATTTCCTTTTCATATGGGATTCGGTCGTCCATAAAGCCATCCAACTCGCCACGCCCTGGCAGGTAGTAAAGATGCATACAAATGAATCAGCTCTTACCTTCCGAAGATGTCAGCGAAATGTTTGTCGGAACATCAGCGAGACAAATTCAATACCTAATGTAGGAGAAATTGAAGTTCTAGCTTTGAGAAAACTTAAATATTCTTTGAATAACGACGAATGCATTTCTTTAGATGGAACACCCTCTACAATGAAAAAAATATTACAAGTAAATTACAATCAGTATCATGACAAAATTGATCAACTGATTGCTAAAAAACCTGTGTGTTTGTATTTTCATCAAAATATG